TAAAGCAGGTTAAGCAATCAGTGAGGAGCAAACCAATAAGCAACAGCCTGCCCCAGCCCTGGGATGTACTCTGTATCAGCTCCTACCTCCAGTCTCCTGCACTGTTTTGAGTTCCTGCCTTGACTTCCTTCAATGATGGACTACAGTGTAGAACTGTAAGCCAAATAAACCCTTTCCTCCCCAACTTGCTTTTGGTTATGGTGTTTCACCATAGCAACAGTAACCCTAACCCTAACTAGCAATAGTAACAACCACCTTACAAAGCAAAATAATTTTACATCTTGTGATGGAGAAAATTATACTGGATCACTTACAAGAGTCCCAAACATCAAGTGTCTCTGTGAGCGAAAGCGGGGGGGGGGGGGGGGGAGCCCCAGAGTGGTATGATAGGTAAAAGATTCAGCTAGGCTTGCTGGCTTCAGTGAGCAGGTTCTCAGGAGCCAGGAGCCAAGGAAGACAGGTGTCCTGAGAAGTGGGCAAAGACAGGGAGACTGATTGTTCCCCAAGCTTTTGTTTAGAAAGAAAGCAGGCTTGGTCTATCCAGTGAGATCTGCACTAGGCTCCTCAACTACAGCCCTGTAACATAATGGGATGCTTTAAGATGCTACTCTTTTGGTACGTTTCAAAGCACTAACAGGAAAGCAAATAGTAAAGTATGATCACTTGGTGGGGGCATCTGACATAACTGTATTATAATTACACATGTCATTAATAAATAATGGAAACAGCAACTACAGCTAGAGACATTGGTCCTTTGGGACTATGATGCTGTGTTTTCCGCTTGTTAGTGATACTGCTCTAAATCATTTGCTGTACTGTTTGTGAAACGGTGACCACTTAGTTTCACTCTCCTTTTGTAAAGACCCCCCCTCCTCTGATTATTCATTTCATTTGTATGAATTGTTTGGGGCTCACATCTTCTTACTCTGTTTTGTGAGTTTATTCAAGGTACTTTATGTCTGGTTCCTATGGCTTCTGGCATATTGCTATACATAGAAAACTTTGTTACTTTTTGGGCAAAGATAATTCAGGTATATTTTGTAATTTATAAAGTAACTTAGGGAGGGTTAAAATATTTTCTATTCTTTATATGATCTCATTTGGACTTTTACCAAGTAGTAGCATTCTATACCTATTTTCTGTTTTTATCAATATAGTCTAAAGATATTAATCATGTGAGTATCATCCTATTGCTTTGATAACTGTGTAGCATTGAAGATGTATTTCCCTTATAATGTCCTACTCTTTTCAAAGCAGAAGAGCAAATGATCTTAAACCAACATAATAAAGAACTTAGTTTTTAAATTAATTTTTTCACAAGCAAGCCAATTTCTGGTTGGATAAAACTATTGTACCAGAAGAAAAATCAAGGCATTATGTCAAACTAAAGTATAATTTATTGATAGTTCTACTTAGCAGTTTGACTTCATTCTGACTCAGCTTTTCGTTCATTAATTCAAGCACTGTGTCAAGGCACCAGGAACACCACGGTGAACAAAACAGGACTCCAATTTTAAGGATTTATGCGTGTGTGTGTGTGTGTGTGTGTGTGTGTGTGTGTGTGTGTGTCTGTATGTCTGTCTGTCTGTCCATCTGTAGGGCAGAACAAATGAAGTGACTCACTCCCCCTCCTCTCTTTTAGGCTCAAAGAGCTCCCTGCTTCTCTGTTTACTTAAAAGTCTCAATATATAAAGATTATATATTGATTATATATAAATAAATATATATAATGTAAAGATTATATATGTTGATTATATTTAAATAAATATATACATATACATAGATTATATATTGGTCATATATAAATAAATATATACATGTATGTAAATATATAAAGACTATTTGTCACAGAAAGAGGGACATGACAAGTGTGCTCAAATTGCTGCCCTGTCACTTCCCTTTATCAGAGAAAGAAGAAGCCATCTTTATATTTATCCCAGGCCTTCACCCCACAAACAATTCATCACTTACCAAGCACTTTCCCCTAGCCAGATACAATGAGAGGTGTTATGGAGACTATTGTATTTTAATTAATAAATTAAATTTTACTAATTAATTAACCTTGTTAATTAGAGTAGGGTTTTGCTATGCATCACAGGCTGGCCTGGAGCTGAAAATCCCCCTGTCTCTACCTCCCTAAATGCTGGGATTACAGAAATGGGCCACAGTGTCCAGTTCGGGGATACAGTTTTTTGAAAAGAAACCTTTATTACACTAACACATGCTGCTCCAGTAATAGCTGACTTCTAGTAATTACACACCCTATACTCTATGTACCCTTCATGAATTATGTCATTCCTTATCTACCCTCCAACAATGGTGCTATGACCACCCCCTCTTTGAACACAAAAGAAGTGTCAGAGAGTTAGTCATGTATCCAAGAGCAGCACATGTTGGAGCTATAGTCCGAAGGATTCTCATGGTATTAAGCATATATTCTAATGGTATTTGATTTAGGTGTACTCAGATTACTCCAATTCTTTTATGCAACTCTTATCTACCCATTGAAATTTGACAAGAATTCCAGAAGAATTTCCTATAATAAGGAATGTCTTATAATGCTATGATCTGGGCTGTCCAAACGGCAACCACAAGTTTTATTTGGATCCTTGGAACTTGAAGTTTGACATATAGACAGAAAAATTACAACTTAATTGTATTTTATTAAATTTAAATGGCCACATTGAGCTGCTGGGTATCATGACGGATAACACAGACTCTTAATTTTAACTTCTCTGTGAAGACAAGACTCAGATATATTAGTCAATATCTGGTAATGAAAAAGCATGCGTGAAGAATCTTTAAGTTAGGAGCACCCACTCCCCCAACCATGGAAGATCAACTTCTTACTCTACTCAGACATCTACTGTAGTGACAAGCTATACTTAGCCTGTGAAACTTCATGTAATCCCTGGGGAGCTAGTGAAGATAGTGACATTATTAGCCGTGCTTTTGAGAGGCTGAGGAGACCTCTTCAGCATAGTCACCACTTAAAACACACACTCAGCTATACCTTTGCCTAAGGGAAAAGAAATCAAGGCTTATTTTATTCCTTGGCAGAACCAAGGGTTCATAGACACAAAAGGGTGCTGTTGGGGTCAAGGGAGGGGAAACTGCAGCTCAGTGACGTTTTCTGCAGAAACTGCACTCAAGTTTTAGACACTTTGTTAAGCAAACTGCCAAGTACTTGTCCCAAGTGATTTCACACCATTTCTCATAGCATCTCTATGCATCTCTTCATCCCTGCAATGGGGTCATTTTAAATTAGGGCAAAATACCAGGACTATCAGATCTATATCACTTCTATGAGACCTTGGAGTCATCAGCCATTCTCAGAACAGGGTTGAGTCGTGTGCCCCTCTGCAGACTCAGGACCACACAGCTCAGCCACTGCACTCTCCCACCCCAAGACGCTAACCCCCCTCTCCCAAAAGCTCAGCTACCTTATAACATCCTGGACTTGACATGATGTTTTTCCTTTCTTTTTCAATTTCTATTTTACTTTTAGAAACATATGGCCTAGGTTAGTAGCTGAGGTTGGCCTTGAATTCTTTATCTTCCTAACTTGCCCTCCAAGAGCTGGGATTTCATGACTATGCAACCATGGTGTGTGTGTGTGTGTGTGTGTGTGTGTGTGTGTGTGTGTGTGTGTGTGTGTTTTCTCTCGGATTTTTAAACATTAAGCTTAGATTTCAAAACCTAAAAGCACATATCAAAGAATTGTGAGACCACTAGCAAACTTCTGGAGACCTCAAGCCATGCTTTTCTTTTGATCCAAACAGAAACATTTGTATATTTCGGGAATCCATTTTTTTCCCCCTGCTATAAAGCCTAAGTCATTTTACCAAAACGGTGACTGAAGAAAAAGGAGAGTTCTCTCCTACTCAGACGATAGAGATGTAAACCCGGCGTCATAATCACACCAGGAGATGATTCCATATTTGCAAGACCATATAACATCACCTGCAGCTGAAATCCTTAAGTCAGTACTGTTCAGTGCTTTGCTCCACCCTCCAGACTAGCACCAGGCAGCTGTGGCAACCTGGAGAGGCCGCTACGTACTGAGTGGATGGCTTCAGACACACCAATCTTATCACACCAGCTCCAGGCTGTGTTTTGTTTGGTTGGCTTCCCCCCCATCCCCCCTCCGTATTTAAGAGTGATCTTCACGGTCAGATCCTCCGAGTCATCTTGCAGTGCTCGTCACGGGACTGTGAAGGGAGCGGCATCCAATTCCAGGGAGGAAGCTCAGAGGCACAGTCCCCGGGGCTGATGCAAACCGCCAAGCTTCTCTTCGGTTTCAGCCAAGAGCTAGCTGGACTGCCCAATTGCTACATTGCTTTGACTATAATTTTTGCAATTTGGCAGCTTACAGGATGTTGAACCGGGGACGGGAGAGGGAGGAGATGGTGGGCACGGCTGCCAAAGGCAACGCCGGAAAAGGCAGAAGAATGAATTTATGGTGGTCCATGGTCCTAGAGCTGGAAGGGAAAGTAAAGGGACTTTACGACTCCAGCAGAACAAGAGCTAGTTCCAGGACAGCCTCCAAAGCCACAGAGAAACCCTGTCTCGCCCCACCCCCAAGACTCCAGCAGGCACTCTAACTCCAGCTGGACCCCTAAGCTTTATTTCCCTCCAATATCTAGACCCTAGCCAGCTAGTGGGGATGCGATTGGGGGCCAGGTAAGCAGGCCGTTCCCGGTACACAAATGGCCTGGCGATCGCCGGGGCAGCGTCACAAAGGGCCGAGGCCTGCGGAGGCCGCGCGCGCAGCTCTCCGGGGCGGAGCCGCTGGGACGGGGGTCGGGGAACCCGCGCCACCTCAGGCTGTTCAGCCTGCGGCCGCGAGGTCACACCGAGCCAGCAAGATGCGGATGCCGTGGCTGCAGCCCGAACCGCTTAGCCGGGCCGCGGAGTTCTCGGGCCCCCACCCCAGCGGACGAGCGCAGCGCGCGCTCCGGCTCGGGCGGAGCTAGAGGCGGGCATCGCGCCACCGCAGCTCCCCGCCTTCCGCCCCGAGCGCGGCGGGTGCCCTGACGGTGGGCGCCGCTGCAGGCACCTGGGCGAGGCCTCGCGCATCCGGGCCGTGGCAGCTCGGGGCAGATCCTGGACTTGGGGACCCCGCAGGAGCGCACCCCGCTGCTCCTGTCGCCTCCCTTGGCTCCTCCTCGCCGCACGATCCTCACCACCCCCTCTCCCGTCCCCTCCCTCCTCCCACCCCAGAGGATGCGCTTCCCCGCGCCCAGCGGCAGAGGCCACCGCTCCCAGAAATGCGTGCGCCCGAGCCACTTCGCCCCGACCCGCGGAGCCCGCGCCCCCGCCCAGTAGGTAGGTGGCCGAGGCGGGGCCCGGCCTTGGAGGCCACCCGCTGCTGATGCTGCGGCCAGGGAGAACCTGGGGCCGCGACCGGCAGCCCCAAACTTGCCTCCCTACTGGGCTGCCAGGGCACTGAGGTGTGCTAATGATGTTGGGCGCAGCCCCCCGGGGGACCTGAAACGCTCTGCTGGAACGGTCGAGGCCGAGCCAGGGTGCAGGGGCGCTGGACCCTTCCCGCCAACATTCTGGGGATCCTCGGGGTGGGGGGTGGGGGTGCTTGGAAGGACAGGTTGGCGCGCGGCTTCTTTGGGGAGGAGGAGACCGTTGCCTTTTTCACTAGCTCTAGCAGACTATGTCATTGCATTTTTAAAAAGCAGGATCAGCGAATTTGTTCCTCCTATCTCTTTTGCCAAAATTTAGACGATCAACGGTGTTGTTTTAGCGGTATTTAGGAGTGATTGTGGATATTTGTTGTATTTTACGGCTCGACAAGTGGTATATAAAATCAGTGGTGCAAACACTTTATTTTAGATGCCAGTAAAGGAAGGTCCTTCTAGAAGTCAGATCACTCACGTGATGGATGAGGCCAGTGTGTTCTCTTAGGATAAACCAAACGGGAACCGATGGGTTTGAGAACTGCAAGTTTGATACAGGTGTTGGGAGCTGAGACTCTGAAAGACGCGCTCGTCAACCAGCAGAGGCAGTCTTGTCTCCAGCCTCACTTCCCATGCAGAGCTGACCTTTGCCTTTCTGAGAAACTGGTTGAGGCCCCCACCCCATCCCCACCCCCATTCTGTTGTAGAAGTTAAATTCATGCATTGAGTGCTACCTCTTAGGCTACCGTTTTCCATTTTACACTAAGTAATAAGGTTCAGAATTTGGGGGAAATGGAACATTGTAAACTCCACTTTTATAGACACGATTTCGTATTAGAGATTTTGGTGAGCGGAATCAGTACAAATACTAAGGACACAGAATCTTATGCTTTATTTTTAACCTCATTCTGTAATTCCCCTCCTTTGGGTGCCTAATAGCAGTTGGTTATTTGTTGAATCTCCCTCCTCTCTCTCTCTCTCTCTCTCTCTCTCTTTCTCTCTCTCTCTCTCTCTCTCTCTCTCTCTCTCACACACACACACACACACACACACACACAGTGTTCCAACCATTTAAAATGATAGTATGTTTTTTGTTTTGTTGCTAGTGCAACTTTATTCTTTAAAACGCTTCTTTAAACAGGCAAACGTGCTTATTTTTCATCGACATTTATGGCTTCAGCAGCAAGGAAGGCATTTGTTCTCCATTTAGGTTCACTTTGTGTCCATTTTCCAGTATTATAGCCATCAATTCCCTTTCAGTCATACTTCCAAAACCAATTTAGAAAGCAGAATTCATGTTTAAAAAAAAATCTTAAGTTAATTCCAGAAGGAGCAGTGATCTGGTTAATAATTAACAACTTGTTTTAAGGCTAAAATGAAAATAAAACATTTAAGAGTCTATAGTTGCAAAGTGACCTCACATATATTTTAATCACAGAGATTCAGTTTTTTTCTTCTTGTGATGCCAGGGACCAGATCCAAGATCAGGCCCATGGTTTCCATTGTATTAGGCTAGTCCCGTCTGAGCTCTGTGCTTGGCCCTAGAAACAGCATTTTAGCTATTTTCCTCTATAAGATGGGACATTTGGAAGATCCAGTGCCTTTTCTGCTTCAGAATATCTTAGGAGAAAAAGGAAAGAAAGAAAAGTAACAGAAAGGACCAAACTGGACACAAGTCCATAACCTTCTGTTTACTTTTACAGTATGAAAGTTTTGATTTGTGTTTGTTTTCCTGTCACATGAATTTAGTGAGTCATTATTAGCTTCTTTTCATTCTCTCCTTAGCACACTTATCTGACAGTGAATACCTTCTAATTTTGATGCATCTTCTTCCTTACTACCCAGAATATTGCCCAGAATACTGGTTTTTGCACAGTATGCTAAAACATAATATACTCTGTTTCTTCTCACATCTAATCAGATTGTTTCAAATGGGTGAAGGAAAACTTTTAGGTAAAAGGCGGGAGAACTGAGGAAATCGTGGGAAGAGAACTTGTGAATATGAATTGTTATAATTGATGATGAAAACAAAGCAGGTTCCCATTCCCAATAAAGATAAAGCCACTTTTAGAGTCTTATTTATAATCAAGGACGCCGAGCAACTTATTTGCATTGCTCTTCCTTGCTTGCCTTCTGCTCTTTAAGAGCCTGTGGTGAGAATGCACCTTTGCTCCTTTTTAAATTATTTATTTATATGTGTATGGGACATCTTGCCTGCAGATGTTTGTGCATCGTGTGCATGCAGTACCTGCAGAGGCCAAAAGAGGGCATCAGGCCTCCTGAGACTGGAGCCAAGGTGGTGAGCCACCATGTAGGTGTTGGGAATCAAACCCAGGTCCTCCGCCCCTGATCTTGCTATCCAGGCCCCCATACATCTCACATTTTAACTTCGGGACAGTTGTTTTGTTCCATAAACACGTAGAACTTGAACGTTTTCATAATGTGCTATATTATGGAATTAGTCAACCAAGAGCTTTTTCCTCATTGCAGAAGGAATCCTTTTCTCTTGTGTCCTGCAAATTCAGTATCTCTACAACGTGACTACTCACGTGTTGCATTTTGCCTCCAGAGCCAGCTGCAACCCTACCTCCATGTGCACCCTAGCAATACAATTCTAAGCCTAGGATTTTTTTTTTTTTTTTTTACATTTTACCTTTCTGTATCTTTCTCCTGCTGTCATTTTGTTTGTTTTGTTTTATTTTATTTCTCAAGACAGGGTTTCTCTGTAAAATAGCCTTGATTGTCCCCGAGCTCCCTTTGTAGACCAGGCTGGCCTGGAACTCACAGAGATTCGCCTTCCTTTGCCTCCTAAGTGCTAGGATTAAAGGTGTGTGCTACAATCCCAGGCTCCTGCTATCATTTTAGAAACCTGTCTGTTCTTTGTTAAATGTGTATTTCTTAAATCTCACTCCTAACTCTCTTTTTAAATTATATACTAGAATCAAAATAGGATTGTGGGGAGAATATACAGAGGTAAACGTGTATAATCTTTCATTTCAGAAAAAGGGAATGTAGGTTGAAGAAGAACATTGTATTTGTCTCCTCACTAGGTGCATGAAATGAATTTGTTTCTGCACATACAAGAGAATATGGATTGTCTTTAAATTTGATAAGATCGGTCTGATGTAGTGGTGCATGCCAGCTCTCCAGAGACAGGTTGGAAGCCAGCCTGGTCTACAAAGCAAGTCCTAGGCCAGGCAAGGCTGCACAGAGAAATCTTGTCTTTGTGAAAAACAAAAACAAAACAAACAAATAAAAAACAAGAAAGATAAGATTAGCTGATAGAAACTGTTTCTAGGGGTTTAGCTGAACAAAAGCCCTGCTATCTACAGTCTTCCTCTTATCTAGACCAGGAGTCTAGCTAGAACTTTCCAAACTGTGGGTCTTGGTTTCCTTGTTCAGCATGCTTGATATCCCCTCCATTGTGTGCACTGTGAAGAGTTCACTGAGCAGACCTTGGAAAAGAAACTATTGTTAGTTAGATCACTTCATAGATGGGGTTTGGGGAAGGGTCCCTGCTCCTGTTTAAAGTCTATGCAAAACATTCCATGGAGCCCTAGGTAACAAAGTCAAGTCCTACCACCAACAATTAATATGTGTGACTTTATTCCCACTATGCAAAGAGAGAACCAGATGTTTCCCTTTCTGTCTTGATGAGGAGGAGAATCCTAGTCACCATGTGAAAAATCATAGTATTAGTGTTCTAACTCCCTCCTTTCTTCAGTTTTATCCTGTTTCTCTTGATTCTGATTATTATCTAATTATAATTCTCATATTTTGTTGACTTACATTATTTTAGATGATTCATCCTTAATGGAACAAGAAAAAATACAAAACAGGAAACCACATAAATGAAGGAATTGCAGCAGTGACCTCTGGACACATAGTATTTCTGATAAGCACGTTTCAAATGGGTTACATTAAGTGAGTTTTGAGCAAGTATTAAAATGTTGATATATTGGTCCTTGTGTACAGAGCCAAATGGGGAAGAGTGTCATGCAGTTTTATAAAACTAAATTCCACTTTTGTAAAGTTAAATTCTAGCTATTTTTGAACTGTTGAAGGAATGCACATCTTTGGCTATTTGGAGTTAGTAAGACCATTCTCTTATATCTGGAGTATCTACCTCATAGCATAGAGAAAAGATTCTCTATAGTTTTTTAAAAGTCGTTTTTAGCCAAAGGGTGAATTCAAACTATCTCAACAGTCACTGTGCTGGTCAATCTCAACTCTGTGTCGGATGACTGCGTGACTTAGCCTTGCTTGTTCTAATAAATCACAATAGTAATTCTCATGTCTTTCATTTACCATGATATTTAAATGATTGAGTTTCCCAAGTTAATTGGCCAGACTCTTTCCATTGTGTAGTTGCGACAGCTAATTTAAACTGGTTGAACCTTGCCAGGTCAGTAGTTATTTACCATTGTGTGATACTGTGATATGCTGATCTCTCAGGCTCACATAGAAATTGTCCCTCAGTGAGTCATTATCACTGAAAACCTGGACTCTGGCTTAAATTCAAGTGCAACTTGACATGTATCAGGAAGTTAGGTTTTCAAATAGAGACATCTCATTTAATTACCTCCAATTCTTTTTAGAAGTACTTTTATAGACTAAGTAATGTCTTCCTATGGCTTGCAAGGTACACTGTGCAAGTTTTCCCTCATCCTGAGACTCTTCTTTCCTATCCATGGGTAGCTAGAGATTTGGGCAGCCAGAAATTGTAGTTAAAAACACTCCAGCGGGTTTTTGTTTTGTCTGTGCATATGAAAGTATGAATAGAGAGCCTATTTATTTGTCTCCACTATTTCTCTAACTCATCCTGTCCCCACCACCTGGTGCTTGGAACCTCAAGTCTGCACTCTTCTGCTTGTGTCTTCACTGGCCTTATTACCAAAGTTCCCTCTTGAGATTTGT